CAAATTAGTTTACACAGTTTAACTGGACATAAGATATCTTATTACTCCGACGATGGCGCGTTTTGTTCGCCGATACGACGCGTATAAACTTAACCAATGTAAACTAAAAGCGTGCGCGTACGATACTCGTCCATGTGAAACGGGCCTTAGCGAGCTTTCTAGTAATTCTTTAGAAGTTCTTTATTTAAAATATACTAAAAAAAAAATTGGCCTAAACGGGTTCACAAAATCCTGGTCCAAACAGGTTGCATTTTTATTAGTGACCTAAACGTCCCTGGCCCAAACGTGCCTCGCCCGTTGTCATATCCTCCGAACAACCCTAATTTACTTTACTACTGCCTTCATTAATATTATATAGGTAATGCATAAATGTAACATGAGGTAAGTTATATAGTAATGAAAAAATAAGATTGTTTAAGAGTAAAATGCAATTTTGATAAATTTTAGATATAGATATTGGCATACCGTGAAACATCTCAAATGATGATATCCCTGGTCTTTGCTCAGAAACGTTTTTTGTAAACAACGATCCATCATTGAATTCAATGTAACATAATCATTATAGACACCTACTGTATAGCCGAGTGGTACACTCTACTTGCCCATATCAAAAAAAAATAAAAACAATCGGTCGCAATAATCAAGAATTTAAAAGCATATTAAATATTTACTTATTTTCATATATTATTATTTTCCAAGACATTGCCCCCCTCAACACTAATTGGCACCTATGGGAGCATGTGTACTGTGCAGAATGCGCAATTAGTGCAGTTGCCGCACATTCGGAGAATGGAGCTCGGCTGTTCTTTTTTCGAATCGATTTTGATAATATTATTATGTGATGTTTGTAGAATGTCAATAAAGTGTTTGTTTTTAACATTTCTGTCTGGAGCTGGTGGGTGATCGGTATAAGCATAATAAATAAAAACGGAAATCGATTGCCATAGAGGGCTTACATGGGCCAGATGCGAGCTGAGTACAGAGTCATTTATGTTTTGAGCGAGCCTGAACCAATGGTGTATTGTGGGTGAGGTGGGTGTCATACTGACCTCCCAAATAGAAAGGCAGTTCAAAAGTATCTAAAAACCAAAATGTTGTAATAATTGTAATGCCCTTAAGATGATCATAATATTTCATCAATGTTTTTTGAATAGCCCTTAATAGTACAGTTAGTTTAAAAGACAAATAAATGTATTTATAAATATACGTAAATATAAATATGAATATATTATTCAGAATATTATCATATTAGTAGGCGTTAAATCTTTTTTTATACAGCTGCCGCTGCTCATAAGCATACAAAAGTATATATATTTATTCAGAAACGTCAAATGTCAATAATATTCATATTAAAATGCTTTAGCGATTTGTCAAAAATAATTTTCAGATAATATTTTTTTTTGTATTTTGTGTATAAACTTCGAAGTAGAATACGTAAAGCTTTATATACCCAATCGAGTCTTATAACTATTTCTATAGAATATAAGGAATGCATTTTTTGTTTATCAGAGTTGTAGGGAAAAAATGAGCAAAAGAACATCAAAGACCTGCAGCTGAGCGACTTCTCAGGAGTTGTTATTCATAAAAATATCATAATATAACTACCAGCTACTTGTTGTATTTTCGTAAGTATTTTATTTTCTCATACGAAATTGACAATTTTCCACAGATTTATTCGCAGGGAAAATGAAAAAATAAAAAATATACCTCTACTACTCAATTACTGTTTTGCATATTTTTTAAGTAAGAAAAAGAAATAATCAAAATCTTTCATTTAGGACAAACATTTGATTGATAAATTTAACTAAATGATCAATTAATATAATTGTACATTGGGTATTAATTTACTTAATACATAATATTTTAATATAGTTCATATGAATTTAAAGAATAAAAATAATATTGTAATCATTGTTATTAAACCTAATCCATTCTCTGCTTATACAAATATGTTGAGGGTAAAAGAAAATGGCAAATACCTTTAATCTTTAGTACGAATAAAAAATTATTTTATTTAAGACAAAATTTAGATTTTGAAAATAAAACATTAATTGATGCTTCTAAATGTTGACGTAATATTATATTTTTTTATGTTGTTTCATATTACGATACTAAAATTAGTTTCGGCAAAAGGAAGAGAACAATTTTTAATTTAATACGTCTTACATGATTTATACTTAATATTTTATAAAAATTACAATTACAATTCTGATGGTTGACAAATTTTTGTATTTCATATTGGGGCTTTTAAAAAAATTGGCTTTAGTAGTCTCTAAAATGTTTATCCAAAATTGGTATTATTACTATACAATTAATAAAACATGCCAAAATAACACAATACGTTATACTTATATAATACATATTATATTATAAAATCTATTGTATGTATATTATCATACTCAGTGACGTAACTATTTAAAAACTAAGGATGGGGGAGGGGGAATATTATTTACTAACCAAAATCAAAACTTTTTCAACTATCGGCTTAAATATATTTATACACCAAGTTCACCTTACTATTTATTTTTTTAAAGTTTCAAAGCTCATTTTGTGGCTTAGCAAGAGCCAAAAACAAACTCTAGGTATGCTATAGGTACCCATATTGATAAATTATATGAATTATAATTTAAAGGTACATTGTAAAAATAAAGAGTTCATTAAGAGGATGTCAGCGAACCATTTGTTCTCTCAATCTGACACATAAACATATGTTTAGCAAAACCAACCATGTGTTGCTACTTTTAATATGAGAATGAATAGACCTATTTTTAAACTTTAAAGTAAGAACATAATTAATTGTGTCCTAGGTCTCTAATACGTTGGCTTATAATTTAAATTTTATACAATTTTCAAGCATTTTTCAAATGATTGGAATTTAAAGGATTCTCATAAATAGTTCAAGCTGTACCCAACCAAAAAATCTAAAAAATATATATATATATACGCAAACAGTTATTTTTTACAGACATTTTAAGTTCAAATTTGAACGAAATTGCATATTTAAACTATCAAGAATAACGATCTTAGTTATTTTTTTGTATATAAAATATTATACTTGGGTACTTGTGACTTTTAGAGTCAATTATTATATAAACAGTATGGCCACAGTGGCATTTTTAAATGCAATTTTTTTGGCGAAAATTCCTGTAGTACTAATGTCTATTAGTTAAATAAAATACTGTAATCACAATTATAAATATTTATTATATATATAACTATCATACAATTTACTTAGTCATATTAAAAACTGACAGACCGTCTTCGCTCATAATCTATGTTAGTATTATACAATGATTGAATTAAAATTTAACACATCCATTACAATGACTCTCTAGACACCTACGTAATGTACAGCAGAGAGTTATCCACTTTTTTTTCTTCCATTTTTTTACGACTTTGGCTGTATATTAGCATGTAAATTGCACCCGACGAAGCGAAAAAATTGTAGATTGCGCCCTGTATCTTTCAGGTATATATTTCTATGTAGTAAATTGAGCACAATAGAAATATTTTTTTATGATAATTATTTAGCATTACTCAGAGGATACCTACTACGAAGAGGCAACTAGCTATCGCCGTCATTTTGTTTCGCCCGAGGAAAGTTCATGTTTTAGTTTTGACAATTTATGACTTTGGTAGATTATAACCTCATTTTCTTTTTGGCTCAATTCACTATGTATAATATCCATGTTGCACTGTTGCAAGCAAAAAGCTTACCAAAATATTACCTAAACCTATACGCAAACGCATTGATATCGCTAATATCATTGCGATTATAGCAATAAACGTTCGGTTTATCCGCCAATAAATGATCAACAATATTTAACATGTGTATAATAGATATCTATGTTTTTAAGGTCACTAAGATATCATGGGCACAGTTTACTATACCCATTTTAGAATCCGAAAATCCCGTGTGCAATTTACAATATCTATTTTTGAAACCAAAAAATTCCGGGCTCAATATTAACTATGGTATTTTTACTACCTGCTCAATGTGAACGCAATTTACATGGCTTATTTTGCTATTTTTTAGTGTATAGAAATCCGCTCTATAATATTATAATTTAATATCACTAAAATCAATACATTCGTATTCGAGATTCAACTATACGTTCAGAATCTAAAATAACTAATAAGTAATAGGTAGGTACCTACAAAAATAATAAGGTATAAAAATGTAAAGGTCATCAAATTCATTTTGAATATTATAAGTATAATTTATGTGAAATTATTGTTTATTAATTTATATTAAACATATATACTTTTGAAACCTGGAATTTACAGCACACTCGTTCAGCAAGCTTTCCCAACTTGTTTATTTAAGTGCCGATGACGGCTTTTAAAATTTCCCTGAATTCTATACAATTTTAAAAATATATATAATATTTTAATACTATTCCACTATAATCTACTGCCCGATACGGCGATACCTATTTAGAGATTTGGGGGCGAAGGTCAATACTTTGTATTATATCAACAAAAAAAAATAACTACACGTGAGAAATTCTCAGGCCTAATCGGATTATCGGATTTTGATGACTTTTTTTTATTTGAAAGAACAATGATGACATCCCACAGACCACAGTGAACTCAAATTTTTAACTTGATTTCATCAAATACTAGCATGAATTAATTTGCACAAAAAAACTGAAAATTACCTTATTGTGTTGACTATAGAACACCTAATCTGTTACCTATTCTATTAATTACAAAAACAAAATTATCAGATTTGGTTGATTTTACAGGACTGCAGGTTCATAATTTTCGTAGCTACATGCTAGAAGCTAGAGTCTATTTTTGAGAATAAAATGCCACCGGGGGCCTTAAGTAGTATAATATATAACATGTATATACATATAAAGTATTAACGGCTATCGGCTAAAATTAACGCGGAAAATGGTTGGAGGGGGGGGGGCGGTATAGTCCCCATAGCCAACACCTGTGGACTACAGCTCTGGGTAATTATAGTAATAGTTTCTGTACATGACTTGACTCACCTGCAGTGATCGGGACGAACATCAAAAACGCGTAAAATCGTTTCATGTTTGAAAATCGTTGTGAAGCACAACCCCCGGTGGAGATTAAACGTCTACATGTACCGCACAATAATAATATAAAAGGTACCTACCAGTTACCAACCGATATAAGAATCGCGTGAATTGCGTTTAACGAAATCGGGAACGACAATAATATGAGCGACATCGGTCCGATCTGACCGCCAAACCACTAATGATTGAGGAAACGATATAATTCTGAAGTCCTCGTCTTATAATATATATAGGTGCCCACTTCTCGTGTCCGTCAATCTAGTCACCGTTGTAACGACTGCGGTGTGACAAAATCGAATTGATCGACTGCTAGGCGTTTTCTCATAGTGTACCGATTTATATATATATATATTATGTTGGTGTTTTAGGACGCCCCGTGAACCGACAATTATAGGTAATAGCCGATTTCAAATTACAAATATATATATATATACACTATGGATGAGGTATGTATATAGGTACTATTTACGTCACCATCGTCATACACCTAGGTAGTTTATAGTTATATTTTATTCTACGAATAGGTATTAGCAGGCTCCGTACTTACTGCACAGAATCGAATAGAGTAGAATATTATTATATAATATATTGTTTGTAAAGGAAAGACCTGATGAATGAAAAATTAAAACGTATGAGAACAATTATGAAAATAATATGGCCGATAAATATTTTTAAATTTACTTTTAAGTCGAACAATTTCCAAAAAGATTATTTAAAAAAAAGTTCTTTTAAGACGCCCCACGAACCGACAATTCAACTCCTCTCAATTTTGACAACTTTACAGAGTAGCTATTTTCAAGTTTTCAGAATTAAATTCTTATTCTGATTATAATGTTTTATATAATTTTTTTCTAGTTGTTTAACGTTTTTAGAGCAATCCAAAATGTTTTTATATTTTTCCCAGATATCTTCTTTTGTTGACCTAAGTCCTTGTATTAAGTCCTATTATTTTAGAAACCATACTGACTTAACTCAAGTTGAATCTTTTCGTGGAAAATATATTGTTTTGATGTGAACGTATTTCAAGTTAATTCATTTTTCGTTTGAAATATGCAGTCTTGGTGAAAATGTATCTCAAGTTAAGACTGTTTTCGCTGGTAATTTATAATCAAAGATACACGTAACTAAAGATACGTCTTTGTTTGATGGTAAACTAAATATTAGGACTTTATATTTTATTATGTTTAAATTATCTTCTTTGGCAGAATTTAGTTAATGCCGTTTTCCTCAAGAATTAAGAAAACCCCGCTTTAAAATTATTAGATGAAACAAAAAAAGGTAAAAAATTGAGTTACATCCTTTTTGTGGGTAATTAAAGGTTTTAGCCGAATTAGTTTTACATACCTATTTATATACTCGTATTTACTACTGTTATATCGCATATTCGAATCATCAATATACCTAGTTATATTATATTCCGCTAATAAGTAGGTTCCGCATGACCGCGCTGCAAATAATCGAATATATGAGAATATAATTATAAATACAGGGCGTAACAGTAAGATCAGCTGACAAATGAAAAATGAAAAAATGAATACTATAGGTAGTTAAATGTATGAAAACAATATTATGAAAATTGTATATTATGGACAGTAAATATTTTGAGATTTACATTATTGATATCTTGAAAAATGGCAAAAACTTAACTTGACTTAAATGGACGTTTTTATCGTCAACATTTTCTAAAAATTCGATTTATTAATTGACTATTTTGAATTATTCTAAAACAAATTTGATTAAATTTAAATTTTTTTGTATTTTCGGTATTAAAAAAAAGTCGTACTCTGTAGTACCTATGTCTGTGTACCTACTGTAGCGCCAGAGTCCATAAATTTTATTTTATTTTTTTTTTTTTTATCGAACATGAAAATAATGTGCTCCACTTATAAACAAATTTCAAATATTGATTAGAACAAAAGTCATTTCATTGGTCATTCTCGTTACACCTTGTATATTATGGTAGGTACTATTGCGACATCATATTCAATTCATTTCAAAATATTTAATTCGGTTTATGTGTAGAATAATTTATATTTTTTTTAGTGTGTGTGTAGCCAATTCTACATCGTTATCGAGTACATCGATGTTAATTGTTGAAACTTAAAGTCACTATATTAATAATTTCTTATATTGTCAACAGAATTTGTGGTCGCCGCGTCTACAGAAAAACTGCAAGAATATTGAAAAATAAATTAATTTATGGTTCTGATTACTGCTTGGGTGAAAAGCTCACACAAGGGAGGGGTATTAGACCTTTGGTACAAAGGCCCGGTTGAAATTAATTTTTAATTTTTAAAATTTTGTAAAGAATAATTGTTTTATTTTATACATTTATAATCTATTAATTAAGTCATTTTGTTATTTTAAGCTGTGGGTTAACCATTTATTACCTATAAACGTATATGGGACACCTGTATCGTTTGTTTATTGTGCTGTATTTTTTTGGAAGTTTTGTATAGAGCTCGCGAAAACATTTGGTACAAGGACCTAAAATCTGATGGGGCAACCTGCTTGATAGTACATTTTGTGAATATATTTAAACTAAATGGTAACGTGTTAAATTATGGACAATAAGTTCGAATGTAAACCGTAAAGACTCATTAACGTATTTTTTTATTTTTTTTACGTTTGAAACGTAATTTCTAATAATTTTTATTTTTAGTTTTGGAATTTTTAAATTAAAATTGTTTATTTTAATATAGATTTCAGTTTCTATTTCTTTTAAGTATTGGTTGTGACGAAATACATGTTTGATATAATATATTTGTTGTATTATATATTTATATGTATCTATTAGTCACCCTTTATTGCAAAGGTCTCTTTCCTATCCAAGTTCTTTTTGTGCGTACATTTAATTAGATTTGAATATTTGTCTCTACCTTAAGCTTGCATAATATAGAGTCACATTATTTAATTTGTCTATTTTTATACATTTGAAATTATAGTTTGATGTAAAATCATAATTATAATATATAAGTAGATCATTATTTAGTTATAAATATTTATAGTATTGTAAATCACAAGCAATAATTAATTACAAAATATTAAAATACATACGATTACCTATGGCGTAATATTATATCTATAATATTTTTACACAAGCGTTTCTAATATTCACCTGGAGTCATAATTAAAAAACTTTAATCGTAAACTCGATTTTATTATATTCGACATAGGTATATACTTAAAACGGTAAACGGAAAACTGGTAATTACGGTTTTTATAAACGCGGAATACTGGTATGGTCGCCAATAGTCAAGGTTTCCCAAAATGTTATTAAAAAAAGGAATAAAATATCAACGATTATAATTTATTTTTAATTTTATTTTATCGACGATAGATGGGAAACCACTAGTGACTGCGATGTAATTTTATGACTCCATGTGTACATAGGGTACAGATATAGCAGTCGAAATTGTTATTATTAAATTTTGATTGCCAACATTATTTTTTTGTTTTAAGTATTATTTAAATTTAACATGTTGACGTTGGTGATTTATCAAAATTATATTATGAACATTGTGAATACTTTAGGACCCCTGGCAATTACATTTTGAATAGTACCAGTTATCCACGTTTTTTATTTATTTTGTTATTAATTGTATGAACCGTACCAATATTCCGAGCATCCTTATTAAAATCCTAAAAAAAACTGAGTTGTAAGGTGTTTTTTGAAAATATATTGTTCTTTAAGTTTTTTCAAGTTTTTAACCAACCACTTGTCATCGCATTAACTTTAGAAAACTGAAAACTGCCATAATACTACTTATATAGTTATATGGAGATGGTATCATTTAATAATGATCGATACCTAAACTTAAATTAAATCGAAAACAAAAATAAAACTTTATAGGTACTGAATTATTGTAGTATGGTATTGTCGATTAAATTATTGTTCTGATAATAATACATTCATCCCTCGACAATACGCATGGTTCCCATAAAGTAGAGACTATAATATTATAATATTATGTGTGCATTCGGATTAAGTTTAAACAATAAATCACAACAATTTGAAATAAATATAATTTGAATAATAAATAAATGAACTTGACGTATAAAATACATCTATTTCTTCCAATTTGTAATTCTTATTAGTTATGATTTAAATAATAAGAAAGAAATTAATACCATTTACGAGCACAATAAATTGTTACTACGTTCGGATTAAGATTACGCGTTATATCCACATATAGTGAATTATGAACATTTTCAAATATTTAATATTTTACATAAGAAAGTATACTTATAACTCAATTAGTAACTAAAATATCGTAAAACACCAATACGAGAACACAGATAATGTTCCTACATTTGAAGTTTAATAATGGTTCAATTCACTCTAATATTTGACTCAAAATTGGAACTGCTGAAAGTACACTTTGATTTGTTACATGTTAGGCAGTAAAACGGAGACAATGCATGAGGATTACTGGGCATGACGCCTTCTTAAGAGGACTATTATGTCCGCATTTATTGCCTCCGTCTTACAAGTGCGTAACGTAGCATATTTTACTCTTGGCAGCTCATGTTTATTTCTGTAAGGTTAAAAATTAGAGTGAATTGACCTCTTATAAAAATTAAAGGTAAGATTATGATCTATGGTATCTCATGGGATTTTTATTATATTTTAATTTTAAAGAGAGTTATGAGTATTTTAAGATGCACAAATAATTCACAATTTTAAAATACTCATGGCTTTCTTTAAAATTAAAATTAAATGAAAAGCCTATGCGATGCTCTAGATAATAATTTCCCCTTTAATTTTTATAAGAGATCAATTCACTCTAATTTTTAAATTAACTTTTAAATTAAGCTAAATGTGATCTGCTTTGCTTAAAATTTGCTATGTTGTGCACTTAATATAAGACGGAGACAATACATGTGGGTATAACGTAACGTCCCCTCGCGGTTTTTTGCTATCATTTACCTATGACCTAATTATCACAAACAAATACTGTTAGGTATATAGTACACATATATGACCAACATAAATAACTTTTCAATACAATTTGGATGCATATTGCATATGAATGCTTTATTTATTTTATGATTTGTTTTTGATGATGTGTTATTTTAAGCACAAAAATATATTTTAATAATAATAAGTATAATAACTAGTTCTAAGTATAATAACGAACCTGATACGGTACGTCTATACT